AAATCTCTGCACAATGAAGACAGGAAAGAAAAACCATGATGATGGACTCATAACTGAACTATCTGATCATCCTTCTTCTCAGAGACAAACAGGACGTTGTGAGGTTCCCAGTGGACAACAACAGGTCAACAATCAGAAGACAACAAACTGATTAATGAACGAGAAAGGAAAGGACTGTTCAGAAGCAGGCAGAAATAAAAATACATTGTATCACAACCACAAGGTGGAGATGTGGAACATGACTGTTGCTGCTTACAATTGATGTTACCAACGCTTACAGTGCCGTATAGAGTAGCCTTACCTTGTAGCTGAGTTTGCTGTTCTGAAGCAGCAATATGAGAGAAGACAACAGCATGTATCAACATCCATCAATCATTAGAAAGCAGAACCCCCATGACAGAACCCCCATGACAGAACCCCCATGACAGAACCCCCATGGCAGAACCCCCATGGCAGAGCCCCCATGGCAGAACCCCCATGACAGAACCCCCATGGCAGAACCCCCATGGCAGAACCCCCATGGCAGAACCCCCATGACAGAACCCCCATGGCAGAACCCCCATGGCAGAACCCCCATGGCAGAACCCCCCATGACAGAACCCCCATGGCAGAACCCCCATGGCAGAACCCCCATGGCAGAACCCCCATGACAGAACCCCCATGGCAGAACCCCCATGGCAGAACCCCCATGGCAGAACCCCCATGGCAGAGTTTTACAATGTAAGAGAGGCCAATGGTTAAAGACAGGCGGCCAGTTCAGGGTTGTGTAATTCAACATATTGAAGGCTACAGTGTCTATTGGTTAATTCCATACCTTCCCCCTATTTGACCTAGATAGTTTGTGTGTATGTATTGATATGTAAACTACGTGTGCCTTTTGTAAAAAATTAACTAATGTAGTTCTGTCCTTGAGTTGTTGTCTAGTAATGTTCTGCACTGTCATCTTTCATGTTCTGTGTGGACCCCAGGAAGAGTAGCTGATGCTTTTGCAACAGCTAATGGGGATCCTAATAAAATACCAAATGTGTCAAAAACCCAAGTGGTGCCCTATTCCCTTTATAGTGCACTACTTTTGACCATTGGACCCATAGGGAATAGGGTGCCACTTGGGACGCACCCCTAGACAAGACTAGATAAGTCTATTTTCCCTCCACACCAGGCAAGCCCAACATGTCACACATGATAACAGAAAACACATTTTTCTATAGCTTATTTTCCTTTAGGGCTTACCAATGTATTTGGCCCTCTCCTCCCTCCGCTCCTTCGCCAGCTTGTGTCGTTGCTCTGTCGTCAACCCATCTAGGCAGAGAGAAAAAAATAACTATGCATCAGTTATACATTTATTTTTACCTAAAAATATCAATGCACTGCAGAGTCCCAGTGCACCAAACAGCTGATCACACCTGTCATGTAGAGTATCATAGTATGAGAGAGGTCACGTACTTGAAACAATTCCTGTATCAATTCTAAACTAGAGAGTGATTTCATACATATATTCAAGATGAAGGTCAGGAAGCTACATCTCCCGCTGCGATGCTATAATGTTATTCCCTCAACAGTTGAACAATGCTGTGTGAACCAGAAGGGAACTCATGTGTTCATGTGTGCGCCTCAAATGGCGCCCTATTCCCTATATAGTGCACTACCTTTGACCAAAAGTAGTGCACTATATAGGGAATAGGGTGCCATTTGGGATGTACACCATGTATTTTTCTGCATTTCCTGTCTGCAGCAATTATCAACGTCCTCCCTGATACACTTTGATAAATGCAAACAGCGTAAGATGAAGGATTTTATTGTATTAATTTCTAATCCTGTTTCAGGCTAGGCGTGTATTTTGGTGACGGTGACTATGGAACTGCTCTACTTTGATTAAGCTGTATGCATTGGAAACAGGGCCCTGGGGTAACCAAAGTCTCCTTTTCTGGAGCCCCATGCTATGTAATATGTATGCTGCGTTTTCTCTGCCAACCTGAGAGGGCCCTGCAGCAAGAGCCCCGGCTGTCACCATAGCAACCACTCTTTCCTCCCACCACCACAATCGAAGGGTGAAATTCCTGTACTAGAGTCTACCAACCAGGACTGGCGTCTTACAGCCAGGACTGGAGTCTTACAGCCAGGACTGGAGTCTTACAGCCAGGACTGAAGTCTGAAGAGACAGGGCTGGAGTCTAAAGAGACAGGGCTGGAGTCTGAAGAGACAGGGCTGGAGTCTGAAGAGACAGGGCTGGAGTCTGAAGAGACAGGGCTGGAGTCTGAAGAGACAGGGCTGGAGTCTGAAGAGACAGGGCTGGAGTCTGAAGAGACAGGGCTGGAGTCTGAAGAGACAGGGCTGGAGTCTGAAGAGACAGGGCTGGAGTCTGAAGAGACAGGGCTGGAGTCTAAAGAGACAGGGCTGGAGTCTGAAGAGACAGGGCTGGAGTCTTACAGACAGAGCTGAAATCTTACAAACATGGCTGGAGTCTTACAGCCAGGACTGGAGTCTTACAGCCAGGACTGGAGTCTTACAGCCAGGACTGGAGTCTTACAGCCAGGACTGGAGTCTTACAGCCAGGCCTGGGGACTGGAGAGACAGGGCTGGGGTCTTACAGCCAGGGCTGGAGTCTGGAGAGACATGCTGGGGAAGGTTCACAAAAACCCACTGAGCCTGGAGGTCCTGTCCCAACACAAGGCCCCACTACACCCCCTTCATCCCTCCCCTACCCACCTCCTCCATACCGCCCACCCCTCCCCTCAACAAATGAAGATTTGTAGTTCACCCACTGCCATCTGTCTGATTGGGTCTGTAATGACTGAAGATCCATTAGATTAGTCTGAGAAATTATAGAAACCTTTCACCAGTCCACAGATATGAATCACTGAATGGTTCTCCCCTCACATGACAATTAGCTTCAACAGCTACCAAACTGTACACCTCACACTGGATGTCTAACCCAGTGGGTCTCTGAGCTGTTCTGAGCACAGGCCAGGTGTTGTATAACGTACCTCCTTTTTTGGGATGGGGGCTGGTGCCAGACCCAGGGGTGCCAGGTCTGGCATCTGTCTTGGTGGAGGGGTCTGTCTTGGTGGAGGGGTCTGTCTTTGCGGAGGGGTCGGTCTTTGTGAAGGTGTCTGTCTTGGTGGAGGGGTCTGTCTTTGTGGAGGGGTCGGTCTTTGTGGAGGGGTCTGTCTTTGTGGAGGGGTCGGTCTTTGTGGAGGGGTCGGTCTTTGTGGAGGGGTCGGTCTTTGTGGAGGGGTCGGTCTTTGTGGAGGGGTCGGTCTTTGTGGAGGGGTCGGTCTTTGTGGAGGGGTCGGTCTTTGTGGAGGGGTATGTTTTGGGACAGGACTCTGTGTCTGGGGAGAGGTCTGAGATGTCTGAGTCGTCTGGTGTCAGAAGATCCTTCACTATCTTCTTGTCTTCATTCTGGATGGCTAAAGGCTGCGGTGTGGAGCGGAGACCTGGAGGAAAGAGTAAACATTCATCAATGATCAGAAGTAGAATACTATGCATAAAGGGTAGGTTTGAAGACAATATATTTGTTTAATGTACTGAAATATCAGTACTGAAATATCAAAATATGGAATACCTGTGCAAGTAGAATATTTACAAATTATTGATATCAACATTATATCAATACCTGTCCCAGAACACACTTGGGTGAGTATTATACAATTCTTATCAAGCCAGTATGATGATGTGATGCTAGCACTAGTGATGCTAACAAACTCTAGCATCATCCCAGACCAAAACACCTTCACTGGGAAGAACTGCCTGCTGTCATTATCCCAACACTCCAACTCATTACCTTCCATTAACATCTCTTTCTCACCCAATTCACACACATTAGTCACACTCCTCCACTCCTCCTCTCCTCTCCTCCTCTCCTCCTCTCCTCCACTCCTCCTCTTCCTCCACTCCTCCTTCCTCCTCTCTCCTCCCTCCTCCCTCCACTTCCTACCTCTCCTCCACTCCTCCACAACCTCCACTCCTACTCTCCTCCACTCCTTCCACTCCTCCACTCTCTCGCTCCTCAGCCTCCACTCCTACCTCTCCTCGTCTGCCACTCCTCCCGCCTACTCCTCTCCTCCAGCCCATCGCACTCCTCCTCTCCTCCACTCCTCCTCTCCCTCCACCTCCCTCCACTCCTCCACTCCTCCACTCCTCCTCTCCTCCTCTCCTCCCTCACCGGAGCTTTTGGTTCTGCAAAGCCAAGCTCACCACAACATCAGACACATTAAACGCCCCCAGACAACCCAGGGACAGGGCTGGCAAGAGGCACACAGTGTCCAATATGGCACCCTATTCGCTATATAGTGCACTGCTTTTGATCAGAGCCATTCGGGCCCTGGTCAAAAGCAGTGCACTAGCATATATAGAGAATAGGGTGCCATTTGGGATGCAGCCACAGTGTGTAATACATCTGATTTATCTTCAAAGGAAGACCAGGCTCAGCTTTCCCCAAAACACACAAGACACATTCAAAGGCAGAGGGAAGGAAGTTAGGGAATACATCAATATTTTTTTGCAATAGATTGAGAAAGAGAGAAAGAGCAAGAGAGAGGGGGGAGGGATATATATATATAGAGAGAGAGACAGAAGAGAGAGAGAGAAGAGAGAGAAGAGAGAGAGAGAGAAGGAAAGAGAGAGAGGTAGAGAGAGAGAGAAGAGAGAGAGAGAGGGAAGGAGAGAGAGAGAGAATGAAAGAGGGAAGGAGAGAGAGGGGGAGTAGTCAATGGTAGGCTTTGAGGGGACTCCTATGGTAGGTACACCTATAGCTCATCTCTTGGCAGCAGTACTGTAGACTACTTTATAACTGACCTCAACCCAGAGTCTCTCAGAGCGTTCACAAGTCAAGCACACTGACACCCCTATCAGACCACAGCAAAATCACAGTCTACTGAAACAGAGCAATACTCATCATGATGCATCAAAGCCAAAGGAACTGAATAATTTAAGAAATCAATAGATGAAGGAAAGTAAGTGTCGAAATCTACCAAAAAACAATAAGGACACAACAAAATCAATCCCTTTTAGACAACTTCCTGGAGAAAACGTTCCACTGTAATAGTGAAGGTATAAACCGTTGGCAGTAGAAAACCTAAACAGTATATTTGACCTCTCAGCTTCCCTATCAATCTAAAAAATCTCTAACAGAAAACGAAGAAAGTAACAACATGACAAATGGTTTCATGAAGAATGCAAAAAACCTAAGAAAGAAATTGAGAAACCTATCCAACCAAAAACATAGAGACCCAGAAAACCTGAGCCTACGCCTTCACTATTGTGAATCACTAAAACAATAAAGATATACACTACGGAAAAATATGGAACAGCATGTCAGAAATCAGCTCAATGTAATTGAAGAATCAATAGACTCTAACCACTTCTGGGAAAATTGGAAAACAAACAACAACACAAAGATATATGGGTAAACCACTTCTCCAATCTTTTTGGCCCTATAACAAAGAACAAACGGCAAAAAAATATACATGATCAAATGCAAATCTTAGAATCAACTATTAAAGACTACCAGAACCCACTGGATTCTCCAATTACATTGAATGAACTACAGGACAAAATACAAACCCTCCATCCCAAAAAGGCCTGTGGTGTTGATGGTATCCTCAATGAAATGATAAAATATACAGACCACAAATTCCAATTGGCTTAAACTCTTTAACATCATCCTTAGCTCTGGCATCTTCCCCAATATTTGGAACCAAGGACTGATCACCCCAATCCACAAAAGTGGAGACAAATTGGACCCCAATAACTACTGTGGGATATGCGTCAACAGCAACCTTGGGAAAATCCTCTGCATTATCATTAACAGAACTAGTTCATTTCCTCAGTGAAAACTATGTACGGAGCAAATGTCAAATTGGCTTTTTATACCAAATTACCGTACGACAGACCACCTATTCACCCTGCACAACCCTAATTGACAAACAAACAAACCAAAACAAAGGCAAAGTCTTCTCATGCTGTGTATGTATGTGTATGTGTATGTGTATGTGTATGTGTATGTGTATGTGTATGTGTATGTGTATGTGTATGTGTATGTGTATGTGTATGTGTATGTGTATATTATATATATAGCAGTGGGGAGAACAAGTATTTGAATACACTGCCGATTTTGCAGGTTTTTCCTACTTACAAAGCATGTTAGAGGTCTGTAATCTTTATCATAGGTACACTTCAACTGTGAGAGACGGAATCTAAAACAAAAATCCAGAAATCACATTGTATGATTTTTAAGTAATTAAATTTGCATTTTATTGCATGACATAAGTATTTGATACATCAGAAAAGCAGAACTTATATTTGGTACAGAAACCTTTGTTTGCAATTACAGAGATCATAACGTTTCCTGTAGGTCTTGACCAGGTTTGCACACACTGCAGCAGGGATTTTGGCCCACTCCTCCATGCAGACCTTCTCCAGATCCTTCATGTTTCGGGCTGTCGCTGGGCAATACGGACTTTTCAGCCTCCCTCCAAAGATTTTTGTATTGGGTTGATGTTTCCACCTCCATGCTTCACGGTTGGGGATGGTGTTCTTGGGGTTGTACTCATCCTTCTTCTTCCTCCAAAACATGGTGAGTGGAGTTTAGACCAAAAAGCTATATTTTTGTCTCATCAGACCACATGACCTTCTCCCATTCCCTCCTCTGGATCATCCAGATGTCACCGGCAAACTTCAGATGGGCCTGGACAATGCGCTGGCTGAGCAGGGGACCTTGCGTGCGCTGCAGGGATTTTAATCCATGACGGCGTAGTGTGTTACTAATTGTTTTCTTTGAGACTGTGGTCCCAGCCTTTCAGCCCTTTGGGACCCAGTCCCCCAGTATTTTGGGCTACCTTTTAAAACCTTTCCCTCATGATCATTGACCCCCCACGGGTAAAGATCTTGCAGGGACCCCCCCAGCCCGGGGGTGTTGACTTCATCTTAAAACTTTTTTCCCTTTTCTAATAATTGCGCCAACGGGTTTTGCCCCTCACCCTGCTTCCTTTTTCCCCTTTAAAACCCATCCCGCCTTGTGGGTCTAAAAATTTTGACCCCCAGGCCCCACACCTCTTTTGGGTTTTGGCCCCATTGTGGGAGAGGGGGGAGTCTGTTTGTTTGAGGGTTTGGCCCTTTTCTTTTATCCCCTTTTAACGGGTTAAAAACCGGGTCATTTAATACGGTAATAGTGGAAACCCGGGGGGTTTTCTTAAAAAAAAAGGGAACAGGTCGGGAGAGCCGGTTTTCCCTTCCGGTTGGGTAGGTGATCAAATACTTTTTTCCCTGCAATAAAAAATGCAAATTAATTATTTAAAAAACCCATAAAATTTATTTTCTGGATTTTTGTTTTGGTTTCCGCTCCCCTTTTTTTAAAAGTTTACCTATAAAAAAAAATTTACAGACCTCTACAAGGGCTTTGTAATTTGGAAACCCCTCCCAAATCGGCATTGTTTTCAAATTTTTGTTCTCCCCACTGTAAAAAAAAAAAATCGCGAGAAAAAAACCCATATGGGGGTTTGGGAAAATTGATCCCGGACAAATACATTGATGGTGTTACAACCCTTATTTTAAAAAAATTTTAAAAAAGCTGATCAAACCCCCTAAAAAAATTAAATAATAATAATAAAAAAACAAATTAAAATGCTTTCCCTTTTTTGGGGTTGGGGGGGGGTGTGGGGGGGTGTGGGGGGGGGGGGTGGGGGGGGGGTGGGGGGTTGGGGGGGGGGGGGGGGGGGAGGTGGGGGGGGTTTTGGGGGTGGGGGGGGGGGTTTTTGTGGGGGGGGGGGGGGGGTTTTGTGGGGGTGGTTTGTTTTTTTGGGTTTTTTTGTGGGGGGGGGTTGGTGGTGGTGGGGTTTTTTGGGGGGGTGGTGGGGGTTTTTCGTTTTTTGGTTGGGTGGTGTTTTTTTTTTGTGTTTTTGGGTTTTGGGGGTCGGGGGTTTGGGGGGGTTTTTTTTGGGTTGGGGTTTGGGGGGGTTTTTTTTGGGGTGGGTGGGGGGGTGGGGTGGGGTTTTTTTTTTGGGTTTTTTTGGGTGTTTTTTTTTTGGGGGTTTTGGGGGGGGTTTGGTGTGGGGTTTTTTTTGGTTTGGGGTGGGGGGTTTTTTTTTTGGGTTTTTGTTTTTTGGGGGGTTTTTGGGGGTTTTGTGGGGTTGTTTTTTTGGTTTTTTTTTTTTTGGGGGGTTTTTTGGGGGGGGGTTTTTTGGGTGTTTTTGGGGTTGGTGGGGGGTTTTTTGGTTTTTTTGGGGGTGTGGGGGGGTGTTTGGGGGGGTTTTTTTTTTTTCTCTTTTTTTTTTTGGTGGGGTTTTGGTGGTGGGGGGTTTGGGGGGGTTGGTGGGGGGTTTG